GAAAAGACCAAATTACAAAGAAAAGCTGACCCCAGGGGAAAGAGGAGAACCTCGGGAATAGTAGAGAACAGCCAGAACTCAGCTCAGAGAGACTCGGAAAAACAGCACAGCACTCACGGAAGAACAGAGACCAGGAAAGCAGGTGATTCCAGTGCTTCCCTCAGCAACCCCCCACCTCCAAACCCCAGTAAATCAACAAAGAGAAACAAATCCACAAGGAAAAAGAGAACAGAAGAAACAGTAGCTAAGAGACTTCAGCAGTGACTTCCAAGTTGTAACTGAGCTGCACAGGGGAAGTACAGAAGCAGAGCCCAGCAGTGGGTCACAGCCGGGAGGCCAGAGGCCTGAGGTGCCAGGGACAGCCCAGGGTAGGACGAAGGTGGGGCTGAAAACAGGCGGAGTGGTCCAAGGCTCCAGGCCACAGCACCATGCCCATACAGGCAAAAGACTAAAGGTTTACTTTTTTTTTTTAATAAATTTATTTATTTTATTTTTGGCTGCGTTGGGTCTTCCTTGCTGCACACGGGCTTTCTCTAGTTGCAGCAAGCAGGGGCTACTCTTCGTTGCAATGCGTGGGCTTCTCACTGCGGTGGCTTCTCTCGTTGCAGAGCACGGGCTCTAGGCACGCGGGCTTCAGTAGTTGTGGCTCGCAGGCTCTAGAGCGCAGGCTCAGTAGTTGTGGCACTCGGCCTTAGCTGCTCCACAACATGCGGGATCTTCCCGGACCCGGGCTCAAACCCGTGTCCCCTGCACTGGCAGGCGGATTCTTAAGCACTGCGCCACCAGGGAAGCCCTAAAGGTTTACTCTTGCGAATGGAGAATACCACAGTCATTAGCCATATTTGGGTTTTTTTAACTTAAATCAAATAAAATTTAAGATTCAAAGAAAACAACAAAAAATAAAATAAAATTCAGTTTCTCAGTCATACGAGCCATATTTCAAGTGCTCCACAGTCACATGTGGCTTGTGGTGACCTTACCAGACAGCACAGATCTAGAACATTCCATCACTGCACAGAGCTATCCTGGACAGAGGTGTCCTGAAGAGAGTAGGCTGAAGGGCTTAGAGCTGGAAGCCAGGCTTGGTGCCCGACTCAAAAGGTAATTCTGGGCTAAGAGGCCCACAGCAGGACCCTCCTCACAGGGCCACAGGGCCCAGCAGCTGGGTGTGTGCTCCCCAGGGAGGAAAACCGGACCTGTAAGACAACTTTGAAATATACCAAACCAAGGACAAGCACTCTTATAAAGTAAAAACAACCGTCAAAATAAATTCAAGAACATCTTCTACGTGCAAAACAAAGATCCAAAAGCAGAACTATAAGGGAAAAGCTTAGGAACCCAGAGGATCACTCCTGGAAATTCACAGGCACACCAGAAGAAGGCAGAGCAGAGAAACGATCAAAAACACACCAGAAGTAAAGTTCCCTGTACCAAAGGATGCAAGTCTTCAGCCTAAAATTGTCCAGCTAATGCCCAGCATAAGAAAAAAAGGCTAGCGCGAGTCATACCCTCCTAAAATATCAGGTTCTAGAAAAGCCTCCTGAAAAAGAAACTCAGACTTGGACATGGCATAACTGGATGAGGGAAGACGATGGACCCATGCCTTCCATCCCCACCCAGCCAAGCTGCCAACCACGCATGAAATGTATTTATTCTGCCTGAGATAGCTGAGAGTTCAGAAAACTTACCTTCTACAAAACCTGTTAAAAAAGAAAATCCAGCACGCACAGCACCAGCCCACTTTTTAGAAGGCACCTGTGTGCACACTGAGGCTAACCCTTGGTGCCTCCCTGGTGATGTGTCTAAGATCTCCACAGCCCTGGGGGCAAGCAGCACTGATGACCCCATATCACAGGGAGAAAACTCAGGCACAGAGCAGCTAAGTGGCAGAGCTGGGATGTAAATCTAGGCGGTCTAGCCCCAGGGTTTGTGACCCTAACCCCCATCCCATGCTGCCCTTCAACTGAAGTTACTATCGCTACCTTCCTCCTTTTCGAGTTCACTGCCAGGAGCAGGTGTTACTACTGTAGGCCCCACTAACCAGTAAGACCCAGGCACTTCATCCTGATACCCTCTGCTTGTGTGCAAGCACACAAACACACACACACACACACACACACACACACTCTCTCTCTCTCTCTCTCTCTCTCTCTCTCTCTCTCTCTCTCTCTCTCTCTCTCTCTCTCTCTCTCCCTCTCTCTCTCTCTCTCTCTCCATGCACCAAGGCCTCTGCGATCATCTATAACTGAACGATCAAAAATCAAAATCCTCAGCCTCTATTCTTACCTAGGTGTGGGTCCAACAGGTGAGGCTGCTCCTGATATTTGTCCATTATTACTAAAAAGAAAAACAATGTGAGAATTAATATGTACATGAGCCTCAGAAACACTCGAGTTTTCCCACGCTGACTTGCAGGGCAGCTCCCAAGAGGACAGGCCAGCTGGAGTGAGCCCCCACCCACCCACTTCCTCAGGGCCACTGTGCCCTGGCCTCTGCCCTCTGCTTGCTCAGCACACCTTCCTCTCAGGTCCTCGCTTCTTCCTTCCTTCACGGCCTGCTGACAGCCAAGCTGAGTTCTCCCCTTCATTAGACACACACCTTCCACACCCTTCACTCTCCTCTGCCACACACACCAAGCCATGTGCCCTCCCAGCCCTCACACCATAGCCTCCTTAATCCCAGGCAGCCTGGTTTCCACTCCTACCAGCAGCTAGAACTGCTCCTATCAGATCCCACGACCACTTGGGTTATGGCAGTTCTTATGCGCCACACACCTCCACATCTGACCACTCCCTAGGAATGGGAAAGTGGGCTTTCACTGGTCCCTGGATATACACCTCACCCTCAGGACAGTTCTACGCCAGAGGTATTTTCAGTGCTAACCGCAGCCGACAGCCAGAGAAACAGCAGAATTAAGCAACTAGCCCAAGTGGCAGAGGGGTATTCAAGCCCAGGGTTGAGTTACCGAAGTGCGTGCTCCTTCCACTCAGCCAGCCACATTGCCCCCTCCTGAAGTTCAGAGTTGTCATTACAAACCCATGAAGACAAAATTATATAGAAATTTCTTTAGCTAAAAGGGTCCTCGAGGACGGTTTTACTGAATCACAAAACCCTACATAGTTATCTAACCACGAGATCCTAAGGAGTCATTTGGAAGTTACCCGTCATAGACAACGACAAGGGTCCGTCTAAACTTGGAGAACCTAGACTAATGACTAAGCATCCTACCGTGCGCCTATCCGATATCCTGCGCTGTCCTGCACAGTCTTGGCAGAGCCATGGGCGCTGCCTACAGCTAAGGCTCTGGGTGGGGGCCCCACAACCGCACAGCCAGCCCGGCCCCCGCCCGCTCCAACCTGTTCTCGCCTCTCCTGCTCCCACTGCCCCGTCCATACAGCTGTCTCGGAGGAAATGCTCTTTGCTGTGGTCCCAGGGCAGGCTGGGGACAGGACTGGGAGACGAGCCGCCCAGGTGAGGTCCACCCGCCCCCTCCTGACGGAGGTCAGCCAGGAGGCCCACTGCCCTCCACCTCTCACGCGCGCCCGTGTCTGGAACCGCAAGAAAGGAGACCTGCACAGCCTGCGCTGCCCCCTCCCCTCCTCCGGCCCGCACGCACCCCGGAACCGCTCCAGGGCGCCCTCCCGGGCCGCGCGGTCTCCAAGCCCCGCCGGTAGGCGGCCGAGCAGCTCCTTCGTCTCCGCGCTCTCGCCGAACGACTCGAGAGAGGCGCCGCAGGCCAGCGCCACGTCCTCCGCCGCATCCTCCGCCCGGTCCTCCACCGGATCCTCCACGGCGCCCACGGCCGGCTCCTCGCTCAAGGCCATCCTCGGCGCCCGGACGGTGCCCGCAGACTCGCAGTCGGCTCCACACGCGCGCGGGGCGCGGGGCGCGGGGCGTGGGACACGAGGCACCGAACGCTCAAGACTGCTGAGACAGAGAAGGCGGCAATGATGCCGGCCCCGCCCCACGACCTCCGACCTTGCGCTCCGACCCCGCTACAGAGCGCGCCGGCCGCCAAAATACTGCGCGCGGAGGCGGTGCCGACCCCGAGTGGGGCGGGGCCAGAGGGCTGGGTGGGGCGACAAGATCCCACAAGCCGGCTGCGCAGCCTTCCCCGAGCACGCGCGCTGAGTTCAGGTCCCGGGGGTCTTTCTGCAAAGCAGTCTGCAGGCGCGCAGGGCTGCAGTGGGAGCGGCTCCAGCCCGCTAGACAGGCACTTTCCAGACAACAGATGAGTGGGCACTCGTAAAGCCCCGAAATAATTGGTGAGTCGGAAGGAGTGATAACGGCGCGGCTCAGGTCTTCCGAGACGCACACACGGGTGGCCGAGGTGCCCGGCAGCCCCGCCCCTCCACGGTGGCAGCCCGACACCCTGACCACTCCAGGCACCCGCCAGGGCACACCCCCTACCCAAGGCTACAGCCCCCCCCACCCCCGCACACACACACACCACACACACACACACACACACCCTTCTATTCAAGCAAAAAACACCAGCTGCAAAACGGAGCGCGGGAGAGCGGCTGGGCAGTGGCTGCAGCACATGGGGGGAGGGGTGTCTTTCTTCCACCTGTCCACCTCAGTAAGGTGGACTTGGAGCCCTGCTCAGCCCCAGAGATACTGCTCAAGAGGTGGGCCCATCTCATGGTCCCCAACTCTGCCTAAGCCAGAAACAGGAGACCCGAATCCACAGGGGGCCATGACACCAAATTCCACGTAAGCAACCCCCAGATCTGTGTGAATTTCTGTACAACTGTCATGAAAGTATCCAAACTCCAAGTTCCCCCCAGATTGGAATAGGTAATGAGCCTGCCGGAGACCTTTCAGTTGGTCTGGGCCCCCATAAATTAACCCAGCTGCATGGAGGACGGAGACGCAGGTGAAACTAAGACACACACAGTTCCATCCCTGAAACCACCATGGGCTTTATTCATCTCTGAAGCCGCCTCTGGTACTGCCGTGCTGGTCCTTTGGCAAGCGGCTGGGCAGGCGACACAGGCGGGCTGTTACTTGAGAAGCTTCCTCATGGTGCCCAGGGATGGGCTCCTGTACTGCTTCCCGAAGTGGTTCCAGTGGTTCAGGTAGTTAAAGAGCTGATAGAGCAGCAGCCGCCTGTCAAACCCTGGAGCCTTGGGGACCTTCCGGTGGTAGGCGGTGAAGAAGGGCCTGGGAAACCCCCCGAACATCAAGGCAATCGCCAGTTCAAACTCAGAATGACCGTAGAAGGAGGCCGGGTCGTAAATAATGGGGCCGGTGTCATCCTCGGCCACATTTCCTGACCAGAGATCCCCATGAAGAAGGGCGGGGACAATCTCTAGGCCACAAAACAAATCTGGGATCTTCACCTAAGAAAATAATTATTGTACACAGAGTTATCACAGGCCTGGGAGCCACAGTCTCCTCATCCAGTACTTGGAAATAAGGCAAAGACGACCTTGTGTTTGCTCAGGGTCCAGCCACCACTTTGTACCAAGCCCAGGGATAAGGATCCTCTGACCCCAGGGAAATGTAATTTTGTCTTAGTATTTACTACTAATTTAGGTCTAGAAGTGTTACAATTTAATGATTTCCATACAGTGGAGAACCTCAGAGGTTATGATTTTATTGTCATGTAGAATATGAACTGTATAACCTGAGTGGAGTCTTTTTGTATGTAACTTAGCAAACTTTCTGTGCTATTCTTTTATTTCACAGCACACATATATCTGCACCTCTTTTGTAGCCTGATTACTTCAGCAATGAGTTAAATAAAATTTCTTTGATGCATGATGACAGACTGATATGCGAGCTCTGTGTTTAACATTTTGAGAGTTACGTTTTGAAACCAGTCACTCTGGTTTCAAAGTGCTACCCACACCTGCTCTAAGAGGTAAGACGTTTGTGCCTTGGTGAGGAAAACAGCATAAGAATGGACAAGAAAGTAATAGTAAATGCCACCATTTACAAGCCAAACACCTACATTTCACATGAGCAAAGTTTGAGGTTAAGTACCTGGTGACCAAGCAGGTGAGAGGTGCACTCAGGGATCAAGTATGCCCTCAGGTCCCATCCCCTTCTCAGTTTCCCCATCAAGCCAATAGTCAGGACACTTATGGGTCGACGACTTGACCAGCTCTGCTCCAGGCTCAGCAGTCCCCACTCTGGCTCTGTTCTAGCAGGGGGTCCCACACAAATGTGGTAGGCTCATAAGAGAACAGCCCCTCTCCCAGAGGATAATTGCTGTGCCCACCTGTAGCTGTGACCAGAGTTCTCGTGCCTCTCGGTCAGCATAGTCCTTCTCAATGAGGTCCAGCTGTGCTTGGAGCCGGTGCCGGGTAAAGAAGGTTGGCCAGTCATCCTGCCACTCGTTCACCTGAGCAACAAGGGAAAGGACAGGCTGGTGCTGCAGCTGGTGGTCACAGGACAGAGTTATGCGTGCCATCTGCCTAAACCCTAAAGCAACCACTAAGAGAGCACAGCAAATGTTATCGCTGTCCAACAAGGGAGATAAGATGGAATCATTAAAAATACTTACTTAGGGACTTCCCTGGTGGCGCAGTGGTTAGGAATCTGCCTGCGAATGTAGAGGACACGGGTTCTGGCCCTGGTCCGGGAGGATCCTGCGTGCCGCGGTGCAACTGGGCCCATGCGCCACAGCTGCTGAGTCTGTGCTCTAGAGCCCGCGAGTCACAACTACTGAAGCCCACACACCTGGAGCCCCTGCTTCCCAACAGGAGAAGCCGTTGCAGTGGGAGGCCTGCACGCCGCAATGAAGAGAGGCCCTGCTCGCCACAGCTGGAGAAGGCCTGTGCGCACAGCAACGAGGACCCAGTGCAGCCAAAAATAAATAAGTAAATTATTTTAAAATACTTAGTTAGGGCTTCCCTGGTGGCGCAGTGGTTGAGAGTCGGCCTGCCGATGCAGGGGGCACGCGTTGGGGCCCCGGTCCGGGAAGATCCCACATGCCGCAGAGCAGCTGGGCCCGTGAGCCATGGCCGCTGAGCCTGCGCCTCCGGAGCCTGTGCTCCGCAACGGGAGAGGCCCGCATACCGCAAAAATAGTAATAATAATAATACTTAGTTAATTCAAAAGAGAGATAAAGAATAAAAGGGGAGCAAAGAACAGAGAAGACAAATAAAAAAGAAATGACAACCGTTCCAAACCTAACCATATCAATAAGTACATTAAAAGTTAATTCGAGGGCTTCCCTGGTGGCGCAGTGCTTGAGAGTCCGCCTGCCGATGCAGGAGACGCGGGTTCGTGCCCCGTTTCGGGAAGATCCCACATGCCGCGGAGCGGCTGGGCCCGTGAGCCATGGCCACTGAGCCTGCGCGTCCGGAGCCTGTGCTCCGCAAATGGGAGAGGCCACAACAGTGAGAGGCCCGCATAACGCAAGGAAAAAAAAAAAAAAAA